AGAAACTTACAGTCTTCTGTAACTCCAGTCCATGGGATCCAATGCCCTCTTCTAGCCTTGGGGAACACCAGGCATGCATGTGGTGTACAGACCACATGGAACATAGACATATATGCAGACAAAATACCCATACACATAAAATAAATATTTTTTAAAACCATCAATATAGGACCGGCAAGATGTCTCAGTGGTTAAAAGGTCTTGCTGCATAAGCCTACTACTGATGAGCGTTCAATCCCCAGGACCCACAGTAGATGGAGAGAACCAACTCCACAAGCACAGCATAACACAGGCATGCCTGCATCCACACACACGTAATACATACACACAAATAATAACTAAAATAGTTTTTAAGACCATCAGTTGGAGAGCTGGGGCTTGCCTGGCACGCATGACGCCCGGCTTTGATCCCCAGCACCACATATGCCAGACATTATAGCACATGCCTATAATTTTAGCATTTGGGAGGTGGAGGCAGGAGGATCAGAAACTCCTTGACTAAATAACGAGTTCAAGACCAGCATGACTACATGAGACCCTGTACATAAAACAACAACCACAAACCCACTGTGTTGTATAACTGGTTTTGCCTAGAATTTTCCAGTAGTTTAAGTCTTATATTCGATATAAACCTAGAACGCTTGCTGTGGCCATGGTGCAAGTATTTGCCTCTGCTTCTTTCTTTTGCCAGTTATCTACTTGCCCAGCACTTCTAGCCACATTGTACCCCTTGGCTCTGAGCAGGCCCTCCTCATCCTTGCTGGGCGTGTTGCACAACCGTCCGCTCTGCCATGTCTTGCCATGACTGACTCCCTTAACTTTTTTTCTGTTGGCATAGATTAAGCATATACACGAATGGGTTTATGGTGTGTAATTCATTTTTACCATATTCACCCCATTGCCCTCTCCTGTCCCCTCTCACTGCCTCTGATCCCCTTCTTCCCAGCTAGCCCCCCTGCTACCTTTGGCTTTTAATGACTCCATGAGTTTCTTTTAGAGTTGCTTACAGGAGCATGGGGGGTGAGGGTTGCTTACAGGAGTGTGGGCACCTTACCAGTGGCCACACCACTAAAGAGTCTTTCCCTCCCCCACCAACCATTAACTGCCCTTAGATCCTGAGGGAGGGCTAGGGCCTCATGAGTGTCTCCATCCCCATAACAGGCTATGGTCCCCACATGGCAGAGCCATGTCATACCTGGAAGACAACATCCTCCCTTTCTTCCAACTCTTACGTTCTTCCCATCCCTCTTCCATGATGTCCCCTGAACTTTGATACAGATGTGCCATTTACGGCTGAGCATCCAACAGTCCCCACCCTCATTACTCTGACCAGTTATGTCCCTGCAGTTACATCTGCCACTACACGCTGAAGCTCCTCTGATCAAGGGGCATAGATGTAGTTATTTGGAGGGCAATCTAGTGAGCACATCATGTACATCTATAAAAAGTAACCGCGGTCGCTTCCCAGCTAGGGCCTGTGACTTCCCGATCACAGACTCAGGACCAGTTTTACAGCACCAGATGTGAATTCCCTCTTACAGGGCAAGTCTGGAATCCAATGAGGAAACCCTTGGTTCCCCCCTTAACAGACTTGTCACTTTAGCAGTGAGCATATTTTTGCCTGGCCAGTGACTAGCTGCTTCTTGTAGCCCGGTCCCAGCCAATGTCAGTGTCTCGGCCACTGTGACAGCTGCTCATTTTACTTTTCATTCTCTCCTTATCTTTGCTTGTGAACTATTATCTGTCTCCACAGGAACAGAAAATCCCCGAGAGCAAGGCTTTTACCTTCCTGTGCCTCTTTGGGCTTTCTGTGAGGGTCAGCAGTGTCGGCACACACTAGATGCCAATAGTGTTGAACCGGTGACTGAATGACAGCCCTGTACTAATGTAACACTGGCGTTGTTGCCTCTGTGCTGCAGGTGCTTTTCTGCTCTGGGTCATGTGGCAAAAGCTCGATTCCTGCATGAGACCAATGAGATTGCAGATCAGGTGTCCAGGGAATATGCAAGTATCATCCTCTCACTTCATTCAGCCTCCCAAGCTGGAGTTTCTGCTCGTTTTCTTCCCTGATTCCTACTTTCCCAGCCTCTCTAGCTTCCACCCTACCCACTTTGGAATTGCCTGTGAAACCTCAGGCTGCCAAGTCCCTTAAAGATCTTTAGCTTCTCAAGTCTGTTAGCCCCCCCCCCCGTGTCCTCCTGCCTCCCTGTGTCCACCTGCGCCAAATGACAAAACCTCCTTTTCCCTGTAGGGTGGAGAAGGAACTGACTTCTATCAGGTCCGAGCACGATTGGCCATGCTGGAAAAGAACTACAAACTGGCAGAGATGATCTTCTTGGAACAGGTAAAGGGGAGACGGGCAGGATTTGGAAGGGGGAAAAGGATGAAAGACCAAGACTTCCAAAAGTTTGGAGAGAACTTTTAGGTTTAGAGAGTTCATCCCACGCCTTCTTTAGGTTTTTCAGTTTCTCCTCTGTTAGTCTTTTTTTTTTTTTTCTTTTGAGACAGGGTTTCTCTGTGTAGCTTTGGAGCCTGTCTGGACCTCACTCTGTAGACAAGGCTAGCCTCAAACTCACAGAGGTCCACCTGCTTCTGCCTCTCAAGTGCTGAGATTAAAGGCGTGTGCCACCACTGCCCAGCCTCCTCTGTTAGTCTCTATCTAGGCAAGCATCCTTCTTTGGTCTTTAATTTCTTCTTCCTTTCAAAAAGTATCTTAGCTCCTCTCTACTCCAGAACATGTCTTTGCAACCTTTTATTTCATTTATTTATTTGTTTGTTTGTTTATTGGTCTTTGCAATTTTTATGCACAGGGTAGATCCAAGTTTTTGTGGCACCCAAAACATAGTCTGAGGAGCCTTCATTAAGATAAATTGCTCCAAGTACCTGTGCAAAAAAGGAGCCCCGAATCTTAAATTTCTTTTAGTCTATAATACATCACTGAGTCAGGTGCATTGCTCAGTGGTTGATCTTGGGCTTGATATGTACAAAGCACTCACTTCAGTTTCCGATGCACATGCCGGCCTCTCAGACAGTCTGAGAGGACTTACTGATGGTCTGCCTCCCCGGGGTCCTCTTTCTTCTGTGCGAATGCTTTCAACCCTTAGAATGCTGTGGAGGAGGCCATGGACATGTACCAGGAGCTACACCGCTGGGATGAGTGTATCGCTGTGGCTGAGGCCAAGGTATTGTTCTGTCTTCGCTGCATGAGTGTTCACGACTTGGCATCACCAATTTTAGCAATCTTTCTAAGGAAGCCATAGGATCTGGAATGGGGCTGGGGCTGGCTGATAAGGTGAGGGATTAACATATTGGTGCCATGGGAGGAGCCACACTGTCCCAGAAGAGGAGCAGGAGAGACATGGAATCCCTAACTCCCTCTGTGATGTCCAGGGACACCCAGCCCTGGAGAAGCTGCGCAGGGATTACTATCAATGGTTAATGGACACACAACAAGAGGAGCGAGCAGGTGAACTGCAGGAGAGTCAAGGGGATGGGCTGGCAGCCATCAGCCTCTACCTCAAGGCTGGGCTCCCTGCCAAAGCTGCACGGCTGGTGCTGACCCGCGAGGAGCTGCTGGCCAACACGGAGCTGGTAGAACACATCACCATGGCCCTCATCAAGGGGGAGCTCTACGAAAGGGTATGTGGGCTGCCTCTCCCTGGTCCTTATCTCCAGGACCTGAACCCCACTCCCATCCAAGGAGACCTGGGGGTCCATAACTCTCCCTTTCTGCCAGCATTCCTTCTTTGGGGAGCTGATTCCTGACTCTTGTGTTCAGAGTTTCATTGTATTCATGTGTTGGCAGGCCGGTGATCTCTTTGAGAAGATTCGAAACCCACAGCGGGCCCTTGAGTGCTACTGTAAAGGCAATGCATTCATGAAAGGTACTAGCTGCTCATCAGCTGTCTTTACCACTGTACACTCCTGCCCACCCAGTATCCCAGCATCTCCTTGGGGACATCGCTTCAGGCTGACTGGCTTTGTTTCCTCTGCATTTCTCCACTTCTCACCCATCCGTCCATACTTCATCTCCCTGTCCTGTTTTCCTCAGTCCCATCCCTGGGATTCTGAGCCAAGTGCCCCTTCTGTCCCTGGTAGCGGTTGAGCTGGCACGACTGGCTTTCCCAGTGGAGGTTGTGAGGCTGGAGGAGGCCTGGGGGGACTACCTGGTGCAGCAGAAGCAGCTGGATGCGGCCATCAACCACTACATTGAAGCCAGGTATGGCGGCACAGGGCACAGGGATCTGGGCATGACGTGAGAAACTGTGAGAGAAGGAGGATGGCACCGCCTAAAGGAAGAGATCTCGAAATGTAGGTTAGAATGTGCTTGGGGTCTCTTTATTCCTTTCATCCTCCTCTCTCCTCATACATATTTAATGTCTTTCCTGACTATGCCAGGTGCTCCATTAAAGCAATTGAGGCTGCTCTGGGTGCCCGCCAGTGGAAGAAGGCAATTTATATATTAGATCTCCAGGACCGAAACACTGCGTCTAAATACTATCCTCGTGTGGCCCAGCACTATGCGTCTCTGCAGGAGTATGAGGTGAGGAGGAGTCCCGTTTCTGCAGCTCTGAAGCAGTGCAGTGCAGGGTGGTAAGGATGTCCCCTAGAACAAGATATGGGGCAGCTCACCAAACTCTTCCTGTTGGAGTGCAGCCATGACATCCCTACCATCATCCCAGCATGGCACAGATGTGATCTCTAGCTCTCTTTCCTGTGCCAGCTCCAGTGATTCTCCATTGAATAACTCTAGCATAGCTAGTGTAGATCGTCCTATGTTGCAGAAATGTGAGGCCCTTTAAGTTCCGCCTGAATAGGCGGCTCAGCAGTTGAGAACACTTGTGTGCAACTGGGAGAACCATTGCTCTCGCACATGCCTGTAGTCCCAGAGCTGTGGGGGTGAAGACAAGAGGATCCCTAGTGGGGCTTACTGGCCACCAGCCTAGCTAAAAAGTATATGGTCCAGCTTCAGAGACCAATCTGCCTCAAAGAAACAAGGCAGAGAGCAATAGAATTAACACTCTGTGCTCTCGCTCCTGTGTTTGTGTGTGCCTAACACATGTGCATACACCACACATATGTGCACCACACACGCACCCTGCTTTTATCTAGTGTTTCTCTAGAGACACATTTTCTTGTACTCATCTTTTCTGCAGTATCACTACAAAGTTGTGCCAGGCTCTCTACCACCCTGTTGACATCTTTGCAATTTTAGATTGCTGAGGAGCTCTACACCAAAGGAGACCGGACCAAAGATGCTATAGACATGTACACCCAGGCTGGCCGCTGGGAGCAAGCCCACAAGGTAATGAATGAGCAGTGTCCATGAGGAAAGAACTCTGTGTTAGTGGCCACCATGCTGCCTCACTCCTTGGTCTCCAATACCCCTCCTTTACTAGTTCCCTGAAAGCTAAAAAAGTACTAAAATACAGCCCTGACAGTGTGGATCCTGTCCCTTAGCCCGCATTTCAGCTAGTGGACCTGGGAACCAGGCATTCTGAACTACCATTCCAAAGCCCCTGGTCCCTTGACAGCGCTCTCATCTTCCCCTACATTGCAGACCTCAGTAGAGTAAGCAGAGGCATGGTAATGCAGCGTGTGCTACATATCAGTCTCTCAGGCCTCAGCAGAACGGAGCTCTTCATGGGCTCCTGGTGGACAAGACACTGCCTGAACCTCAGTGGCAATAACTAATACCAGTGATTGTTGGGCGGACTCAGAGTTCAAGAGCAGCTAAGTTTCCATGTGGCCTGGCACCTGAACCTCTGGATTCCATGTTCATAGCTGGCAATGAAATGCATGCGGCCAGAGGATGTGTCCGTGCTGTACATCACCCAGGCCCAGGAAATGGAGAAGCAGGGCAAGTACCGAGAGGCTGAAAGGTGAGTGTGGGGAAGGGCTGGGTCTGAGGACTTGAGGCCTCCTCCCTGAAGCAGTAGCAGCGGCAATCTAGCTGAAGGAGGCTCCAGGTGCATCCCCTGTCTTCAGGCTGTATGTGACAGTGGAGGAGCCTGATCTTGCCATCACCATGTTCAAAAAGCACAAGTTGTATGACGATATGATCCGCCTGGTAGGGAAGCACCACCCAGATCTACTCAGTGACACACACCTTCATCTGGGCAAGGTGAGCCTTTCTACCCCTGCCCATGCCTCCCAGCCAGTATCCATCTCCCTTCCATCATGATGCACTACCCACAGGAGCTGGACCAGCCAGTATCCATCTCCCCTTCCATCATGATGCACTACCCACAGGAACTGGACCAGCCAGTATCCATCTCCCCTTCCATCATGATGCACTACCCCACAGGAGCTGGAGGCAGAAGGCCGACTGCAGGAGGCTGAGTATCACTACCTTGAGGCCCAGGAATGGAAGGCAACTGTGAACATGTACCGGTCCAGTGGACTCTGGGAGGAGGCCTACCGGGTGAGGAGTTCATGCATCCCTCTTTCCTGTTCTTACATGACGAATTTTAACTAATGTCACAAAGACCTGAGTATTTCTGTCTGAAGTACAGCCATACCCGTCTGTATAGCATTTACTTATAATTTTAAGGGCTTATGTTTTTCCAGAAGCCCACCCTCTGTCCCTAAACACTGTGACCCTACATTAGAGACCTGGAAGCTGGCCCTCTTCAGTGCTCATCACAGCTGGGGCAGGAGGCCAGAGATGACAAGGGGCAACTCTGCAGTGGGCAATGCTCTAGCAACTTTGCTTCACAGGTGGCCAAAGCCCATGGAGGAGCCAACGCCCACAAACACGTGGCCTATCTGTGGGCGAAGAGTCTGGGAGGAGAGGCTGCAGTTAGACTGCTTAACAAGCTGGGGCTTCTAGAGGCTGCCATTGACCACGCTGCTGACAACTGGTGGGTCTCGGGTGCAGTCTCCTCTCCTTCGGCTCCTTCCCACTCAGAGCAGCCCACACATAAGGAAAACTGACATGCAACTGAAAAGTAATTCCAAAAGCTGAAGCAGAAGTAAAAACATGCGACTAGGCACGGTGGTGCCAGTGTATAATCCTGCCACTTGCAGGTGGAGGCAGAAGGATCAGAGGTTCAAGGCCAGCTTTAGCTACATAGTAAGTCTGAGGCCATCCTAGACTATATGATACCATGCTTCAACAAAACAAACTAAAGAGTGAGAAATTGGCCAGGCATTATAATAATGCATAGTTTTTGGGGGATTTTGTTGGTGGTGTTTTTGTTTGTTTTGTTTTGTTTTTGTTAGACAGGGTTTCTCTATGTAACAGTCCTAGCTGTCCTGGAACTCACTTTGTAGGCCAGGCTGGCCTTGAACTCAGAGATCCACCTGCCTCTGCCTCCTGAGTGCTGGGACTAAAGGCGTGCGCCACCACTGTCTGGCACAAGTAGATCTCTGAGTTCAAGACTGGCATGGTCTACACAGTGAGTGAGTCTCAGGCCAGGCAACCAAGGTTACATAGTGAAATCCTTTATCAAAAGAGAGAGAGAGAAGGAAAGAAAGAGAACATAGCAGAGAGAGATCTTTGGAAGGGAGGTGTTTTCTCAGTGGTTCTAGAGAGACAGGTGGAGCAGGAACAGCACAAAAAGTTAGAACCATATTAAATCAGTAACATTTCTGGGTCATCAAAGTATACTTCTGTTAAATGAAAAAATGTATATTTTTCTTTTTTATCTAACCCCCCCCCCCCCCCCCCCCCCTCTTTTTCCCTGTCTTATCCTCTCATTTCTGCTGGCCCCCAGCTAATCTCCCTCCTACTGTGATGTCTTTTGTCTGCTTGTGAGCCACTGTTTGTAATTAGACTTGCTTGCCTGTGTGAACGTGGGAGGGGGTTAACTACTGCAGCACACACAGTTGATCCATGCAAGTGTCTGTATTTGTTAACAAATGTCAGGAAGCCTGGGAGCAGAGTAGTCAGGGGAAGGGGTGGAGCTGCCCTTCCTTCCCCCAGTGGTTGTCTTTTCTCGATTTCCTCTTCCTTCTGTATTACATACAAACTCTATCTACACCTTCCATTTCAGCTCCTTTGAATTTGCCTTTGAACTCTCTCGGCTAGCCCTCAAGCACAAAACCCCAGAAATTCATCTCAGATATGCCATGTACTTGGAAGATGAGGTATGAATGTAATTTAGTTCCCCTATACCCCTAACCTCTGTGACCAGTTCACTCCTGTCTTCTAATTGACTGTGATGCCAGGCTCCTTCTCACCATATGTGACTATCTTTCTGTCTAGGGCAAATTTGAAGAGGCTGAAGCAGAATTCATCAGAGCTGGTAAACCCAAAGAGGCAGTCCTCATGTGAGTTTCCCCACATCGTTTCTGTTTACTTCTGGGTTTGGAAATGAAGGCATGGCACATGTGTAGCATCAGAGGGCAAATTGCAGGAGTTGGTTTTCTCCTTCTACCATGTGGGTTCCAGGATTTGAACTCAGGTCATGGGTTTTGTGGCAAGTACCTTTACCCACTACGCCATCCCCCCCCCCCGCTGTTTGGTCCTACTCTGGAATAGGATAAAGATACTGTCCCAGTATCTTTCATGGTCATCAAAGCTCGCACAAATGAAACTAACAGCCCCTCAGTTGTACAGCTGTCTGTCTTCCACTTACGGAGGCTTCAGTCCTGTACTCAACGTCTTCCGTGTCCCCCATTTTGGGCAGGTTTGTCCACAACCAGGATTGGGAGGCAGCTCAGCGTGTGGCTGAGGCCCATGATCCTGACAGTGTTGCTGAGGTACTGGTAGGTCAGGCCCGTGGGGCCTTGGAGGAGAAGGACTTTCAGAAGGCAGAAGGGTTGCTGCTTCGGGCCCAGAGACCAGGCCTGGCTCTCAATTATTATAAGGTGAGTCATTATATTTGGGCCACAAAAGGAGGATGAGATAGTGAGAGGCCACAGATCTACACTGATTCCTGGTGCTGAAGAGGGCAGGAGAGAGAAAGGACAGGCAAGAAAAGGGAGGAGAAAGGCTAAGAAGTCAGGAACCCGGCCAGAGGAAGCTCTTCTGATACCTGCAAATCTGAGCAGGAGGCTGGGCTCTGGAGCGACGCTCTGCGGATCTGCAAGGACTACGTGCCTGGCCAGCTAGAGGCTCTGCAGGAAGAGTATGAGCGAGAAGCCACCAAGAAGGGGGGAAGGTGAGAAGCCATGCGTCCTGGCAGTGTTGTCAGGACCAGGTGGGCTGAACCACACTGCCCCTGCCCAATCGTGAGCATTAAATATTCTCATCCCCCAGAGGTGTGGAGGGACTTGTAGAGCAAGCACGACAGTGGGAACAGGCTGGAGAGTACAGCCGTGCGGTGGACTGCTACCTCAAAGTTCGAGACCCAGGGAGCGGTGGCCTGATGGAGAAGTGCTGGATGAAGGTGAGGCTCCGGACTGTTCTGGCTCTGGTTCCCACAGGTCCATTCCCAGTCAGCTTCCTGCACAAACGTTCATCTTGTTCCTCCTGTGCCTTTATTTCAAGATCTCTCCTGGGTGCCTGCTATGTGTACTAGAGCCCCACAGCCGAAGACTAGAAGGGATGTAAGACAGACACCCTAGCCAGAAGTTAGGAGACTTAATTACTACCAGATCTGAGCAAAGACTGAGGTGTATGAAGTGGAGTTCAAGACACATGAGCTTTGTGTGGGCTGGAGTAGTCCAGAAGGTTCTCTGAGGAAGGAAGGACTTGAATGGGAGCGGAAAGGGCAACTCCAGACCCCAGGGCATAGTTGAGGCCAGTACGAAAGCATGGCTGCTCCTCCAGCACCTCCACCTGATAGCTCCCCTTCAGCAGACTGAGCCAGCCCAGTACTCTTCACCAAGCAGAAGAGAAACAAAACTGATACAGGTGTGCATATGTCTGAGATAAGAAACTGACTCACGCAGTTATCAGAGTGGGCAAGTCCAAAGGTCTGCATGGAGCCTGGCGAGCAGGCAGGCCAGGAGAGAAAGTGCTGTAGTTCCTGTCTGAAGGCTGTCAGGCTGGAGACCCAAGAAGAGTCAGCATTTCAGTTCCAGAGAGCGAGCAGGAAAAAGCCAGTGTCCCAGTTCAGACAACATTTGGGCAGGAAGAGTTTTCCTTTACTCTGGCAAAGTAAGCCTTTTGTTCAATTCAAGCTTTCAGCTGATTGGATGAAACCCATCTATATTAGGAAGGCCAATCTGCTTTACAATTTAAATGTTAACCTCATCCAAGTGCATCCTACAAAAACACCCAAAGTTCTGTTTGAACAATGCCTACATACTGTGTAGTCATCACGCAAAACTAACTGATAAGCCAACCCTGTTATCTTTGCAATTAGACATGCATACATAGTTTAAATGGGTTCAGGGTGGGATTGGGAGTCCTGAGGGACTAAGGGGGTTCCTGGCTCTCTAAATAATACTGTTATGTTGATGCCCGTGCCAGATGTCCTTAAGTTCTGGGGTCACTGAATAGGCCCCAGAAGGTGGAACAGGAAGTAAAGGGGTTGATGTTTGGCTGTGAGGTTTGAGCAGACTTTACTCAAGCACTAAGCAGCCGATACCTTTTACACCGTTCACTAAAGTCTGTGCAGGGCTGTCCTTCAGGTTGGTCACAGGGTGGCTCTTCTTTAGGGGAGAATGCATGCTTTAAGCCTTGCTTTCAGGGTTTGTCAGAGCAAGAAAGGAAAGGGAATGGACAGGGGAATTGGTCTAGATAATAGCCAAACCACGTCAAATGGAAATTAAAATCAGTGAGGATGTCAGCATCTCAGAGGAAACAGAGTTAAATAGCTGTTAAATCATCCACACCAGCACTATCTGCTGGAAACGCTATGCATGCTACAATGTTACTGGAGGTTTTTCATACCTGTTCTTGAATAAGGTTAACCAAAAGAGAATTAAAAAGAATTGCAATACACCTAATTGAACATTTAAATGTTGACTGGAAAGATGGCTCAGTGGCTTAGAGCAGTTGCTCTTCTTCCAGAGGACTCAGGTTATGTCCCCATCACCCACATGGCAGCTCACAACCATCTGAAACTCTAGTGCCAGAGAATCCAATGCCCTCTTCTAGTCTCCGTGGCACCAGACACAGGGGAAAAATGCATGCAAAATGCCCATGCACATAAAAATGAGCAAAATTGGGGCTGGAGAGATGGCTCAGAGGTTAAGAGCACTGGCTACTCCTCCAGAAGTCCTGAGTTCAATTCCCAGCAACCATATGATGGTTCACAACCATCTGTAATGCGCTCTGGTGCCCTCTTCTGGCCTGCAAGCATATATGCAGTATAGAAACACTGTACACATAATAAATCTTTAAAAAAATGAGCAAAATTTTAAAATATTGGCATTTCAATATAATATCCATTGAACTTGATATTATTGGTATTTGCCATTCTTTTTTTGTTCTGTTTTCAAACTCCAGTGAGCATGGATAATCTGAGACTCACAAATAGTTGCCAGGTTCCCTACAATTCTCATTTCGGTTTTCTCTATACTATGCTATCAAGATTCTATCTGTGACAAAATTCAGTGAGCTCATACGACAGATGAAGTGTGCAGAGTTGCAGCGAGCCAAGAGGAACTTGATAGATTCTCTGGGGTCACACAGAAGACCTGTGGGCCAGGCTTAGCCTGGGAGGGTGGAAGATGAGGAAGGATCACAAGAACATTGGAAGCTGGAGGAGGAAAACACAAAGGCCAATAACCCTAGTAGACTCTTTCTTCTCCCCATTTCTACCTTCTGTTCGACCACTCAGGCAGCGGAACTATCCATCAAGTTTCTGCCTCCCCAGCGCAGCCTGGAAGTAGTTCGGGCTGTAGGTCCCCAGCTGATTGGAATTGGAAAGCACAGTGCGGTAAGTAGGGTGCTAGGACCGACAGACCCCCATTTACATGGTGGGATGGTGGGTGACATGTGATCCAGATGTAGGGGTGGGCCCTTTGGCAAGTGCACCAGTTTTGTGGGGAGAGAGTTCACCAAGGGGAGGCACTGAGTCAGATGGAAAGATAGCTTTCACTCAGATTTCCCTGTGCAGGCTGCGGAACTCTATCTGAACCTGGACCTCGTCAAAGAAGCGATCGATGCTTTCATTGAGGGTGAAGAATGGAACAAGGCCAAACGCGTAGCCAAAGAGTTAGACCCGCGGTGATTGCCAGGAGATTCTTAGATCCTTTTGTAAACATCAAGGTAGATTTCTCATGGTGAGGGTGTGGTGCTGCATGACCAGAGTTAGCAATCTCTGTGTATCTTCCCAGGTATGAAGACTATGTGGACCAGCACTATAAGGAGTTCCTGAAGAACCAGGGCAAAGTGGATTCGGTAAAGCTCTCAGTGTTAGGAGGGAGAAAGCAGGAAGAGGCCAGAGGGGCTAACTAGGTGGTTGAGCTCTTGTGTCCCATGTGAAAGGCCTGGGTTCCCCAACACCACCAGAACAAGAGTAAAAGCCAAATTCCTGAAGAGGTACTAGAGATCCTCCCTTCTCCTCTCAGCACATCTGTCTTTACTGCTCCACAGCTGGTGGGTGTGGACGTAGTAGCTGCCTTGGACTTGTATGTGGAGCAGGGTCAGTGGGACAAGTGCATTGAAACAGCTACCAAGCAGGTACCGCTGGCCCTCCCATTCCCACCCACCTCTTCCTGATTCCCTACCTGCTTCTGAGCATCCCACCCCTTAACTCCAATGCCCAATCTGCAGCGGCCCCTACTGAGACCAGAGAGCAGTCTTCCGTCCTCTGATTCTGAGATCAGAATCCTCAAGTGCCCTGTACCTCCTAAACAAACCCGTGCTGTCTTGTCACTGCCTGTTCTTGCTGACCCAGCCTCTTCCGTGCTGTTCCTCCACTCCCAAACAGAACTACAAGATTCTGCACAAGTACGTGGCTCTGTATGCAACTCATCTGATCCGAGAGGGTGGCTATGACCAGGCTCTGGCCCTCTATGTGCAGCACGGAGCCCCGGCTAACCCACAGGTACCAGCCTTCTTGGGATGAATGTTTCCTTCTTCGTCCTCTAGAACCATCCCTTCATCTGTCTCAGAGAACCCTGAGCTGAAACAGACCCTCTAGAGCATTTACCCTTTGAAAAAACACCCAGGCAGCTGTCCATGTTCTTAGTGAACATAGACGACCTGTCTGTCCAAGAGTAATCGTGGATAGCCTTCAAGGGTCCTTACTGACTTCCTCTAGAACTGACAGTTCTCCTATGGAGAATCAAGAATTTCTAGACTGTAAGCCTTCACATCATTAATCGCCCATACTCACTGAACACCAGCTAATATGATAGGGTTTTTTGTTTTGAGTTTTGTCTCTTTTCTGAGTCAGGAACTCTTGTAGGCAAGGCTAGCCTGGAACTATGAAGCCTAGGATAACCTTGAAATCCTGGTCCTCCTGCCAAACTCAGTTTTTCCTTGGGCCTCTTCCTTCACCAGTCTCTTAGCTCCTACACACACAGCTCCCTCACTCAGGTCCCCTTCCCCTCAACCCCTAGAACTTCAACATCTACAAAAGGATCTTCACTGACATGGTTAGCTCTCCTGGCACCAACAATGCGGAGGCCTACCATAGCTGGGCTGATCTTCGGGATGTCCTCTTTAACTTGGTAAGCAAGGGTCAACAATGACATAAAAAGTTCCTTCTGTTCTAGTCTCCTTTACCTTCTCGGTGCAAATGGCCAGCAGTGGCCACTCTACAATCCTCCTTGGCCCTCTTCTGACCCGAGCCTAGCTATGCTCTCCCCCTGACCCCCTTCTCTAGTGTGAAAATCTGGTGAAGTCCAGCGAAGCAAACTCGGCAGCCCACGAGGAGTTTGAGATGATGCTGCTGATCGCTCATTACTATGCAACACGCTCTGCGGCCCAGAGCATCAAACAGCTGGTAAGGTGCAGCCAGAGATTCAGCACAGAGCACTCGGTCACAAGGATGCTCCTTCAGACCTCAGGAGCCAAACACATCCAAGTCTGGGTCTTGGAGCACATTTCCCTCTGCGCTTCTCTTCTAGTCACTCCAACACTTGCTGAGATGGGTTCTCTCCAGACTGTCTGGCCGGAGGGCTGTGCCCACAGCTCTACCAGCCTCAGTATGTTCAAACGTTCAGATACCATGCTAGTTTTATGTACCTCCTACAAAGTACACACACTTTGGCTCATTTAGTTATAACTGTGCATACATTTCATGTACGTGGTCAAATTCTCAAAAGTAGAAAAAGCCCTATACATAACCTGAGCTGGTCACGTAATGCTGATGAAAAGAACTAAGACCGGAACAGCCTGAGACCTAGAGGGTTCAGAACGGCTTGCTGGTTGTCTAGCTCCATGGCTGGCTTAGTTACAGGCTCATTGGTCTGATAGCTGAACCACCACAGGGCCCGGATCATAAACTTTGCCTTTAATTCCCAGGAAACCATAGCTGCCAGGCTCTCCGTCTCACTCCTGCGCCACACCCAGCTGTTACCTGCAGACAAGGCCTTTTATGAAGCAGGTACTGCTGCCAAGGTGAGTTGGGGCAAGGGAAGGAAGGGTGGGGCTGAAGAAACAAACATGGAGACTGCCTTGGGCACAGCTGTGTGTAAGGGGCTGATGTGGAGGACGACACAGCCTGCCTCTTCTGGAGCATTCTCCCTGACCCCAGAGAAGTAGATCCAACCTCACACCCATCTGCACCTTTTCTGTGATAGGAAGTTGGCTGGGAAAACATGGCTTTCATTTTCCTCAACCGATTTTTGGATCTGACTGACGTAAGTAGAATGTGCCTAGAGATTGGGGCCTTTGCCTGTCACCAGCTGTGCCCATCTCATGGTTGACTGCTCTGCCACAGGCAATTGAGGAAGGGACTCTGGACGCTCTTGACCACTCAGATTTCCAGGACACAGACATCCCCTTTGAGGTGCCACTCCCGGCCAAGCAGCACGTACCGGTAAGGTGTCACCAGTGGGTCAGCACCGAGAAGGGTAGAAGGCTTTGGGATGCCATTTTTCGGTGACATCAACCCTAACTGTTACTCAGGGGAAGCAGAGGCAGTTCCAAGGTGGACTACTTATAGCTAAAAGCCGAAGTACGGGCGCTAAGGGCTCAGCAAGACCCTGTCCTCACCCCTCAAGCCTCCCAGCCCCATGTGAAGCTAATGTTACCTCTCCTTCCCAGGAGGCCCAGAGAGAAGAGGTTCGAGACTGGGTGCTCACAGTCTCGATGGATCAGAGGCTGGAGCAGGTTCTGCCCCGGGATGAGCGCGGTGTCTATGAGGCTTCCCTGGTAGCAGCAAGCACTGGGGTTCGAGCCCTGCCCTGCCTCATTACAGGTATGGAACCCCACGTTACCCCATATCCCGTGGCAAGTAGAGAGTAGGGAAAAGCATCAAAATTCATTTCAGAGATAGGACCACCCATCCCACTCTACTCCCAGGCATCCTTCCCAGTCTCTTGCCAATCCCATCATCTCATCTTCCACCACAGGTTACCCCATTCTGAGGAACAAAATTGAATTTAAGCGACCAGGGAAGGCTGCTAACAAAGACAACTGGAACAAGTTTCTTATGGCCATCAAGGTGAGAGAGAGAGTCAGTCGTAAAGGACAGAGCTGGGAATGGGGTGGGGTTGGGGTGGGAGGCACACCGAGTAGGATTGTCCTAAAGGCAGGTCCAGACCCTGTGCCTGATCCTCAGGACACCCAGAGGCTCCAAGGAGTCCCTCTCATGTTCTCCCCTTTGCCCACAGACCTCCCACAGCCCAGTGTGCCAGGACGTACTCAAATTCATCAGCCAGTGGTGTGGGGGGCTCCCCAGCACCAGCTTTTCTTTTCAGTGACTGTACTGCTGAGCATTTAGCTCTTCCCTCATTAAAGCTCTGTAAGTAGTCGAGACTGCTACATTCTTTGATCAACATCTCTCCACCCAGTGCAGTGCGCAGGGCTCTAAAAGTAATTGCAATCAGGCAGAAAACAAAAACTAGTCCTTTTATTACAATTATTTATATCACCCTCGGGTCAGGGCCCCTTGTGTAGTAGAAAACACCTGTGGATTACGCCTCAGAAGAGCAGCTGCCTGCTAAAGAAAGAGCCGACCTGCATCAAAAAGCAAGCAATATAGCAAAAAAAAAAAAAAAAAAAAAAAAAAAAAAAATTGGTCCCAGTCCCAAGAATGCACCCGGGGCCTTTTACCTGTCCTAAACCCAGGTTTTCTGTTTAGTCTGGAAATCCTGGTGGTGGTGGAGTAGCTGCACGTTTTCCGGCCTTTTACACTCAGAAGGTTCAAGGTTGGTCAGTTCCTCCAGCTGCAGGGGAGGGTGGGTTCAGTAACTGGGCCTTAAGAGACACACCTTTCAACACAACCAGGGTGTGGAATGAACCTTCCTGTTTCTCTTCCATACCTGCTCCTGCAGCCCTTCCTTCCTGCAGGGCCCAATTCCCCGCAGGGTGAGTGCAGCTACACAACAGTAACCAGAAAGAGCAGCCTCGCCTGCAGACATGAACAGAGAGGGGATCCAGAGAGCCAAGGCTGTATCCTAAAACCAGAAGTAACAAAGAGGACTAGGCCTTGGAAGGGGGAGGAGCAGCACACGGGGCAAAGGTGAGGCCCAGAGAACACTAAGAATCAGCTCACATAAATTCTTGTGGGATCAAAGGGGCAGTCAGTGTGTCCAGGCCCCTGGTCCAGTGGTATGGAGGGATCCAGCAGTCCTGGATGGCAGTCAGCAATAAGGCGGCGGCCACCATTGGCAACAGTGAGCGACACAGCAAGAAGGAGGCCCATGGAGCAGGCAGCGGACACAAGCAGATTCACTAAGGCCAGCGTCAGCAGGGCCCAGTGCTAGTGGGGTAGAAGACCGGGTGAACAGCCTAGTTAGGTTTCCCCGTGATTTAGAAACCTGAGTTTCTATTTGAGGCTCCTGCCCATTGGAAGTTTGAGCTGAGACACCTCCACCCCTCTCACCAGTCGTGGACGAAGAAGGTTCCTGGATGCCAAGAGGGCCACAAGTCCCACGGAAACGCTCTGCGGAAGCAATAAGACTAAGGCTCACTGTCTCTCTGCACCCAGCCCACCCCGCTTGCCCAATCCATCCGCCAGCCACGCTCACCAGAAGCCCCGAGCCCACCGAGATGACATTGGCCGTGGTGTATTCCGGTGTGACCGCGCCACGGGGGTTCGCCACGTGCCGCAGGACAGTACCATGCAGCACAGCGCCCACCAGAAGGTTCACGTGGCCCACCAGGATCAGAGCGAGGCCCACGCGCATCAGCCGCCTGGGCCCCCGGGCGGCGTCTGAAAAGTAGGGGGAAGGGCGATGTCAGCCGTGCAGGGAGGGGCCACAGGGCCAGCCGCGGCGCGTGGGACGCCAAGAAACTACAGGTGAGGAGAGCCAGGCAACTTACCGAAGACGCAGAGGCGGCAGCACCTCATCGTAGGCCGCTCTGCCCCCGCCACCACCGGTCCGCCCTATCTGGACCTGGGCCTCGCCCCGCCGCCGAGCAGAACCCCAGCTTCCGCGCCGCCACAAGGCAACTCCACCTGGGCCCGCCCCGCCCCCGACCTGAGGCCCAGCCTCCAAGGGGCCGCCCCACCTGGGTCCGCCCCGCCCCCACCTGGGCAGCTGTGCCACCCAATGAGCCGCAAAACACCAAGCCACGCTTTTAGCAAAAAGTAGACTTTTATTACAGCAGCAACTGAGGCGATTCGAATGGCCCCCGGGGCCACCCCTGCAGCACCACCTTTCCCGCCCATCCGCCCCAGCGGGATTGTAGAACTCTGCTCCCCCAGTGCCCGTGGGCCTCCTGTCCACACAGGCAGGGCAGGAGCCAGCAGGTCAGCTACTAGCTCCAGCTAGGTGGCTGCTGAGAAGGCCCAGGCCCACGTCTGTGCAAAACAAGTAAACAAAGTGCAGAGGGGAGGAAGAGAGGGGAGGAAGAGCAGGATGATGCTCAACCAGGGAGCCCCTAAAGCCCTCCTGAATAATAAGGGGAGACGGGGCTTCACAGGGTAATACTGATTGGGGAGATGGGGCAGGAGGACTGCAGCATGTCCAGGGACAGCCACACTCAGGGGCCTGGCTCAAGTGAGCTCTATGAGGAGACGGTGACAGCGGCTGAGTTGAGGGTGCTGTTCCTGGCAAAATTGAACTTGTTGAGGGTCTCCTCGAGCAGAGAAGTCAGGCGGCTCTGATCAGCCTGGAGAAGAAGCTTAGTGAGACAAGGCTGAGAGACGGTGGGGAGGCAGCCAGGGCAGAGGGCAGGAACCTCACCTCACTAATGAAGCCCAGCTGCACCAGCTCAGCTGCCAAGTCCGGGATGTTCTCATCTGACAGAAAGATAGGGGGTCAATGAGTCCAGTCTGGGAGCCCTTTAGCTGTTTCAGAAACTGTCACTTTCCCCGTCCCTGACATGCCCCTCAAAGCATCCTTCTCCAAAACAAAGTAGACTCTCACTTGGCATCAGGTCACAGCTCAGGTGCCGGTTCAGCTTGTCCTCCAGCTTCAGCAGAAGTGTTAGCTAGAGAAAAGGACAGACAATGAGGCTGCTCTTCTCCATCCAGGGCAGCCCCGTGCAGCCCCGTGCACCCCAGCCCTGAGCTTACATGGTGTTTGACTCCCTCCTCCACTGATTCGATGTTGCACTGCATCAGCACCACCTGGAACAGGACAGAAAGGATGGCCACTAGAGACCAGTCACTAAACCCACCGACACCTGGAAACCTTTCCGCCCCACAGAAGAACCAGGTGGCCAGGGGGCAGAAATGCACTCCATACAGGACAGCGCCGTAGTTGAGATGTCCGCCCCCATAGCCAAAGACCGGTCACACCAGAGTCCCCACCTTGCGTGTCTCCACCTCAGCTGGCTCAGGAGTTGGAGTCTTGACAGAAGGGGGCACAACAGGCGATGTCACCTCCTCCTGCTGTGGCTGCTGAGGCCGAGGTAGCCCAAAGGCTGTCAGAGGGTAGATCCCATTCCTGGTGGGAGATGACATAAGTCACACGGACTCTCTGAAAGCCGCAGGACACCTGCCCCTGTTTCCTCACGGAAGCCCACCTTCTCACCTGACATCTTCAAGAAATTTGTCTAATTCCAGGGCAGGTGACTGAGAGTACCTGGAAGAAGGAGGAAAAAGCACGAGAATGAACATTTTACAGAACCTCAGAGTGGTAGGGATCAATCATCCCTTCCAGACCCTCTCAGCTGGGTACTCACAAAGTCTGAACTGGTTCTCGTCCTGGCCCAGCAGGGATTTCCGCTAGTACAGCACTGGTATCCATGTTTTTGGTGATCTCCTCTAGAGCATTCTCTGGGATCATATCTGGTGGGTATAATGGGTAGAACATTATGTAAAGATAGAATTGGTTCACAGGAGGCTTAGAGGGAGGGACAAGGGGTAAAGAATCCCTTTGGTAACAGAATACAGATGCCATGCCAGTGATGGAAGAAGCCCCAAATTGTAAGAAAATCCTAGCAATCTTCATTTAGCATGGATTCAGTCCCACTACCAATTTCTAGCAGGGTTCAGGAAACTCACGTTGGTGTCCCACAATACAGTGAGCAGCAAGGAGTTTGAGTGAGGGCACTTCAAACAGTGCTGGGTGGAACAGAAGTTCTCTGGCTGTTGGTCTTCGAGCAGGCTCAGACTGCAGGCACTTTTGAATAAACTCCTATAAGAGAACAAGGGACTAAAGCAGGCATCTAGCAAGCCTCTCACAGCCTGTAAATATACAAGCTTGTTGGGGAAACACTCACCCATCTCTTGAAAGGGCTTTAAATACATATGTAATGTATAAAATTATCATTCACTATCTTCCTAATTTTTCTTTTTAGACTTCATTTTCTGAGACAGGGTCTCTCTTTAGGTGGCTTAAACTAGCCTAGAACTTGCTATGTAGTCCAGGCTGTCTTTGAACTCATGATTCTCCTGCTCAGCCTTTGAAGTGCTAGGATTACAGGCAAGAGCCACCATGCTGGCTTTGGTTATTTCTTTTCCACTGTACAACCACAATACCTTTTTTTAAATGTTGAGACTTACTTAGTATTTGTGTATGTGTTTTAGTAGTTCATTCATGGCCAACTTTTTTGGATCTTTGCCAAATTTAGTTTTTCCCTTCTCAAACTTAGCGAAGTATTGTTCAGTATTCACCATATTCTCTGTTTTCCAAGACTTCCCTTATCCACTAAATTTCTGAATTCACTGTATTCCCATGCTTTCTCTAACCACTCCACCTTCTTTTCTGCGTTTGATGAAATCCTAAGGCATCATACTTTCTTATTTTCAGTTTTAAAGGTGAACAAGGTCACATCCTGTGATCTTTTATCCAACAACCCATCCTAATGTGAACCAGACCCTGCCTCCATTCTATTAACTCTTCGACTAGACCTCTGCTTCTTTCTTGCTCCCCATTACTGTCCCTAGTTAACTGTTAACGTTCCTTCCTTGCTTTTTGTTTGTTTGGTTGGCTTTGTTTTGGGTTTTGGAAACAGGGTTTCTCTGTGTGTAGTTCTGGTTATCCCGAAATTCCCTTTGTTCCCAGGCCTGCCTCTGCATCCCAAGTGCTGGGATTATGAATGTGCACACACACACACCCCTCCCCCGTTGTTTTGTTTTTGAGACAGGGTCTAAGGTAGCCCAGGTTGGCTTTGAATGCTCTATGTAGAGGAGGGTTGACCTTGAACCCCTGATCTTTCTACCTCCACCTCCCAATGTTGGGATTATAGATGTTTGCCTCCATGCCTGACCTAATTGTTCTTGTTCAGACTGTCCTGTCTCACTATAGTTAATCTACCTACTGATTCATAATTCTTTGATCCTTTATTTTTTTGTTTTTGTTGTTGTTTTGTTTTTAAGACAAGATTTCTCTGTATCCTTAGAGCCTG